TTGAAGTTTGGGATTGTAATGCCTCCATTTTGATTTTTCTTAGACATGAGGGTTTTGGCTATTCGAGGTTTTTTGTTGTTCCATATGAATCTCATAGAAGTATCTTAATGTTTACTTCTTTAATATAATACAGTGAAAGTATCTATGTAAATTATGTTAACAGTTGTGTTGAGATGGAGGTGTGAAATTATGTTTGAAATTCTTCATAAGGTTTCCCTAGAAATTTATAAAATTGAATACAGAACAGATATTTAGCCACATGGTTAATTTGAGCAAATAAATATTTTTTTAGGCTTTTCAAATAAAGGTATTTTTTAGATGTAATCTTATCAAATTGAAAGGCAATTCAGAATATTTTTATGGTGAATGTGTATGTCAAAAGTCTGCATTTGATAGAATGGTTTATAATATGTCAGTGTTTGGTGTTGGTTTTTGAAAGAGAGCCATTCTCGTTGTCTGTTACAGGTTCGAATTCAAGAGACACAAGCTGAGCTCCCTCGAGGGAGTATTCCCCGAAGTTTGGAAGTGATCTTGAGAGCTGAAGCTGTGGAGTCAGCTCAAGCTGGTGACAAGTGTGACTTTACAGGGACACTGATTGTTGTGCCTGACGTCTCTAAGCTAAGCACTCCTGGTTGGTGTTCTTTGGCTCACATTTAACAAATGTCAGTTACTTAAATGAACTGCAGAGCTTCTGACTTTTCAAACTTCCTTATCTTATTGACTGCCAATGAGACAGTGAACAAGGAAGTGTGATGAAAGTAAAGACAAAGTGATTTTGCTACAAAAGATGTAGTGTTCCCAAAATTTTTAAAAACTAAATGAAATCTGGACTTATGATTTCATTTATTTGAACGATTTTTATTCTCATCACCTTCAATATTTTTAGCTGTGACATAACCTATCATTCAATCTTTTAGGAGCGCGTGCAGAAACTAATTCCCGTGTCAGTGGTGTTGATGGCTATGAAACTGAAGGCATTCGGGGTCTCCGGGCACTTGGTGTTAGAGACCTTTCATACAGGCTGGTCTTTCTTGCCTGCTGTGTTGAACCAACAAACCCGAGGGTGAGTCATCTTAATAGAATGGCAAATCTTCAGAAAGTGTTCCCCTGAGGCTATTGCTAAGTTGAAGACTTATGAACACCTGAGTTATCTATTCAGTATTGAAGGAGTCATCAATTCTGAAATTGACCTTACAGACTTTTGTTTGTTGTGAAGTTCCTTTTTTTTCTCATTGAGTGTTATTTAATATTTTCTTCTTTACCTCTCAGTTTGGAGGGAAAGAACTCAGAGATGAAGAACAGACAGCTGAGAGTATTAAGAACCAAATGACTGTGAAGGAGTGGGAAAAAGTGTTTGAAATGAGTCAAGATAAAAATCTATACCACAATCTTTGTACTAGCCTTTTCCCTACTATACATGGTAAGAATTCTACCCATTTGTGGCATAAATTTTAAATTAAATAAATGATTATGAAGTAGCAGTAAGTGGTTTCTTAAGAGATAAGAAGTTTTAGTAGGCTTAGAAGAGATCTTAAAAAGTCATTTACAAAAGGACAGTTATTACATGATTCCATTTATATGAGGTACCAAGAATATAAATTCAGAGGTGCAAAGTAGAGGTTAGTGAGGAGGTAACGTCACCAGTTACTGATTTTAATGAATAGTTTCTTTTTAAGGTGATTAAGAGTTCTAGAAATAGATAATGGCAATGATTATAAAACATAGTAAATATACTTAATTTCACTGAACTCTTAAAATGGTGAATTTTGGACGTCGTAACTTATTTTCTTATATGAAAAAAAATCAGGGCCTCCCTGGAGGCTAGAATTTAGTCAGTGCTATCAAGCTATTAGCAGCCACTGCAGCATGAGTTTGATCCCCGACCATGGAGCTAACCCCAATGGCATGGCAGACCTCTCCTGTCTTTCCCACTGTTTCCCTCAGCAGTGTATTTCAGTAGATCTGTATGTTCTGCTCCCCACTCTGTCGCTGGTGAGTCCTCCCATACCCCACAACTCTGGCCTATCTATCTCTTAGTTCTTGCATGCATAAACAAAAATAAATCTTAACAAAAAAAATCTTTTCTGACCATATGGTAAAACTGCACTTAACTATATTCTAGTATGCCGGGTATTTTTAAAAGTTCAGAGGCAGTTTCATAATGTTTCAGTCATTTAAAACTAACTTTAGCTAGATACTTCATCAATGAAATTATACTAGAATTTTTTTTTTTAAGATTTACTTACGTGGGCCCTCCCTGGTGGTGCAGTGGGCTAAAGCACAGCACAGTTCTGCAAGCTAGCTGCAGCTGCTTTAGTGTAAGTTCAATCCCCAGGTCCAGAGGTGATCCAAATGGCCAGGAGACCTCTCCTGTCATGCTCATTGCTCCCCTCAGCAGTGTACGTCAGTCATTCTGCCTGTCCTGCTCCCCACTCTGTCGCTGGTGAGTCCTCTCACCAGCACTGCATCTCTGGCCTGTACCCCAATTCTGTATGCATAAATAAATAAATCTTAAAAAAACAAAAAAGGTTTATTTACGCAGAGAACTGGGCTGTAGGCCAGAGATGTAGGGGTGGGGTTGTGGGGGGGTAAGACAAAAGTGGTGGGCAGAATTACTTAAATACCCTGGTAAAAGGAACAGTGAATGAAACAGGAGAGGTCTGCTGCCCCAAATATGGATTAGCTCCCTGGCTTGGGGATTGGACTCAAGCCATCTCCCAAGCGGTGATAGCACTGAGACTTAACCACTGTGCCACCAGGGAGGACTCTAGGATTATTTTAAAATCTTGATGGTACTCTCTCTTAAAATGAGTTGGTATCAGAACTTTTTGCTACTTTGCTCCCCCTATGCATAAATCTGTTGCTTCCTAAGATATTCTACTGCTTAATGACTTAAAGTAACAAGCAATAATAGGCTATGGATCAGAAATTTGAGAGCTTTAACTGGTGGCAAGCACTAGTTCAACCTTTGGTTGTAGCCTAGATATCAGCTGGAGACTTCACTGGGGCTAGGATAGCCACTTCATGGGAATCCATACAGCTTATCTGTTAGAACTGGTTGTAAGCCAGAAGTTTTACTTCCATGCCACATGAATCTCTTCCATAGGCCTGTTTCAGTGACCTCACAGTACAACAACTTGCTTCCCCTGGAGCATGAGAGTCAGGGCAAAGCATGTAGGAAGCAAAATGCCTTTCGTGACCTAGTCTTAGAAATTATACCCCTTCAGGGCCCTCCCTAGTGGCGCAATGGGTTAAGACATAGCACTGCAAGCTAGCCACAGTGGCCTCAGTTAGAGTTGGATCCCTGATCCCAGAGGTGAATTGACATGGCGCATCAGACCTCTCCTATCTCAACCAGCTGCTCCCTTCAGCAGTGTACTTCATTGATCTGCCTACTCTGCTCCCCACTCTGTCTCTAGTGAATCCTTTCATGGTCCCTGCCCCTCTGGCCTATACCCCAGTTCTGTATGCAAAAATAAATAAACCTTTTTCAAAGATTTATTTTAAAAAAAGGCTCAGGGGTAGTGAGAGGCTTCACCAGAGACAGAGTGGGGAACAGAACAGGCAGATCGATGAAGTACACTGCTGAGGGGAGCAGCAGGCGCGTCAGGAGAGGTCTGCCACACCATTTGGTCAACTCCCGGGCAGGCGGGAATCGAACTCATGCGGAAACAGCTTTAGATTCTCAGTGCTGTGCTTTAACCCGCTGCGCCACCAGGGAGGGCCTAAATAAACCTTAAAAAAAAAAAAAAAATACCCCTTCACTTCCACAATATACTGTTTGTTAGTAGTAAGTCACTAAAGTCTGATCACATTTAATACATCCTCCATCTGGAAATGAGAAATGTCAGAATTTTGGACTACTTAAAGACTTTGATGTTGTCCTTAATGCTATAAAACACCTTTGTTTCAAAGGTTATGAGTCAGAGAAGTTTTGCTAATGGAATTTTTTTTAACTTTCTCCATTTCAAGAGTAGTTAACACTTTGTTGGTGTGGAAGTCAAAAAAAAAGTTAATAATTAGATCAGGAAAATAACACATTTCTAAAAATCCAGGGTTGTTTTTAAGTGCATATTTCCTTCTTAATTTATAAATAGTTCTAAGAAACATCTATACACTGCTTTCAGCATCTTGTCTAATTTGTGTTAGCCTATATTTATTCAGTACTTGTCAGTGAGGTGATACAAAAGGAGGAAGCCATGAACCATTTCCTCCAAAAGAACTAGAAAATATAAAAGGCTGTGGTAGAAACAGTTTATTTTTGGGAAGAGATATTTGAAGATTATGGCATCAGCAAAGACTGTGTGTGCAAATTAGGGTTTATAGACAAGATAAAGGTCTTAGAATTAAGTACTCAATTCTGTAAAATTTTTGTTACAGGTGTAGAGACATTGGGATAGTGGTTAAGATCGAGAATCAAAATTAGAACCAGTATTTTTACTGCAATCATAGGCTTTGCTTCATCTGTCTCTGCTCTTTTGGTTGGTGAATATGCCTTTGTAATTTCCTGTGAAACTGTCTACCGTTTTGTTGAAAATAACTTTGGTTTTCATTCTAGGCAATGATGAAGTAAAACGGGGTGTCCTTCTTATGCTTTTTGGTGGTGTTCCAAAGACAACCGGAGAAGGAACCTCTCTTCGAGGGGACATAAATGTTTGCATTGTTGGTGACCCAAGTACAGCTAAGAGTCAGTTTCTCAAGTAAGTCTTCGTCTGAGAGTTCCAGACTTTTATGTTATCAAGTTAGTGTGCCTTTACTAGAACAGGAGTATAAGTTATGATTGTGGTGAATATAAAGCATTGAGTGATTAAATATACATTTATTTAATAGCTGTAGTCATGCTACAGTGTTTGGGAGTAGAGAAAAATTGCTTGTAATTCTGATCACACACAGCTCTTTCTATAAAAGTCTTTTAATATATGAACATGTATTTTAATCAGTATAAATCACAGCATACCATTTTTAACTTTACCATAATTGATTTTTCTGGAGTACTTCATGTAAATAGAATCATATGGTATTTGTCCTTTGTAACTGGTTTATTATACTTGGTGTAATATAAGCAAGGGTTATCCATGTTTTAGATTACCTCAGAATTGCCTTCCATTTTAAAAATAAATAATACTTCACTGTATGTATTTATCATATTTTGTCTATCCATTCTTCAATTTGGGTTTCCACCCTTTGGGACATTATGATTAGTAATTGCCCTGAACATTGATGTGCAAGTATCTTTTTTAAGTCTCTGCTTTCAGTCTCTGCTTTCTTTTTTTTTAAGATTTATTTATTTGTGCATATAGAACTGGGGTACAGGCCAGAGGTTCAGGGGCAGTGAGAGGATTCCCCCGGAGACAGTGAGGAGCAGAACAGGTAGATGGACGAAGTACACTGCTGAGGGGAGCAGCGGGCAGGTCAGGAGAGCTATGCTGTGCCATGTGGATCACCTCCAGGGCAGGAATCAAACTCAGCTGAAGTGGTTTAGCTTCTTAGTGCTGTGCTTTAACCTGCTGAGCCACCAGGGAAGGTCCTGCTTTCAGTCTTTTAATAGAGCTTTTACATTTAGGTTTTGGCCCATTTCAGTTAATTTCTAAATATGATGTGAAGTAAATGTTTTTGACTTCATGATTTTGCATATGGATAGCCTGGATAGCCAGTACAGTGTACAACATTAAGACTATTCCTTTGTCCCACTGAATTGTTCTGGCACTCTTGTTAAAAATTAGTATATAAGGGTCTTTTTCTGGACTCTGATTTATATTCCACTCAATGCTGTTTATTCTTAGGCTAATATGATACTATCTTGATTAATATGACTTTGTAGTGAGTTATAAAGTCAAGAGTGTGTTGTCCAACTCTTACTTTTCTCAGTTGTTTTGGCTATTCTGGGTTCCTTGAGTTTCCATTAAATTTAGTAGATGGCTTACTGTTCTCTGCAAAGAAGTCAGCTGTAACATTAGTAAGGATTGCATTGAATCATTAGGTCAATTTGAGATGATTTGGCTTTTCAACAGTTTTTTTGTAGTTTCCAGGGTACAGGTTGGAACTTTTGTTAAATTTATTGCTGAATACAATTTTTTTTTAAGATTTAGTTATTTATGTATACAAGAACTGGGGTGTAGGCCAGAGGTATGGGGGCTAAGGGGTGAAAGAGAGAGGATTCACCAGAGATAGTGGGGAACAGAATAGACGTACTGAAATACACTGCTGAGAGGAGTAGTAGGAGAGACAGAAGAGGTCTGCAATGCCTTATGGGTTAGTTCCCTTCCCTAGCCAGCCAGGAATCAAGCTCTTGCTGCAGTCGGTGGCAATAGCTTGATAACACAGTCTTTAAAACCCTTTTCCTCCAGGGCTATTAAAAGATACATGCCATAAATTGACTAGAAAGCCTTATTTATTTCCTTTGAGTTTTTAAATGACTTAATTACTTCCCTGTCAAGTGGAAGATGAAATTCATACAAAATAAAAACATAAACTTTAAAAGAAGTTTAAACGCTGTCAGCTGATTTTCCTGGACAGGATGCTTTGTAGTCCTATGTTAATGAATATGATAACCCTGAACAGGCATGTGGAGGAGTTCAGCCCCAGAGCCGTCTACACCAGTGGTAAAGCATCCAGTGCTGCTGGCTTAACAGCAGCTGTTGTTCGAGATGAAGAATCTCATGAGTTTGTCATTGAGGCTGGAGCTCTGATGCTCGCTGACAATGTAAGAACATTTTATACTCTTGGATATAAAGAAAGTAAATTATCTACTTCCCTGACTGTAAACACATATATAAGTTTTTATTTTAAAAGTTGTGATTTTTTAAAGCATTTAATATATCATAGTTGTGTTAACTTAGAATTCAACTGGGATTATCATCAGTAATCAGCACATTATGAGCTTCTCTAAAAAGTATTACCTACCTTGGCATGTATGGTTGTGTGAATTGTACTTCTCAGCATTCTCTTCTACCATGACAACTCTGTGACTATTGCATTTCACATGTATTTGACGACAGTCAACCAGAGCTGTAAATGCATGTAAGTTGTAGACATACGTGCTTACGAACATCTTGTTCCAACTTTACCTTTCACTTCCCCATCCTGAATCACTGCTGGGGTGACCCAGGACATTTTTACTGAGATTTACATAAGGTTTTGATGAATAAAAATACAAAAAGTAGCCTTACTGTTAGTTTAAAATTAGTCAAAGCATATGATTCCTGCTAACTAGATACATTGAACTATCTTACTGTAGCTTTGGGAATTAGGATTATTTATTTATCTTACCTTAGAGAATGGAATGGTCTTTATAATAGAAAACTAAGTTTACCTGTCATTTGACTTCTAAAAGGCAGTTTCTTAAGCTAGATTCTTTTGGTTGCAGGGTGTGTGTTGTATTGATGAATTTGATAAGATGGATGTGCGGGATCAAGTTGCTATTCATGAAGCTATGGAACAACAGACCATCTCTATCACTAAAGCAGGAGTGAAGGTATGTGTGTCCACATTCTGCTCTACTGTATTTTGCTATACCCTGTGGATTAATGCAACTAAGGATGTTCACCTGGATGAAATGTATTTCTTCAGCTATAATTCTGAAGGTTATTATTAACTCTGATTACAGGCGCTCTTTAGGTTATTGTGAAATTGTGTTGTGAGGCAGAAAATGAAAGATAATACTGATGAAGTAAGCATTTCATTTCCCAGAATTTCCACAAAACTTCTGTATACTTTGATTAAAACCTACTTCCAACTGTACCAAAAATAAACTCAAGAGTATTCAACTAAAAGTGCAGTATTATAACCAACACAAGAGAGAAACTAAGCTTTTTAAATAAAACTAACACATTCAGTGGGTCTACCATACAACCCAGTATTGGGTAGATACTCTTAGGTATCTACCAAAAAACACAGATAGACTAATTTGAAGGGAAACTTGCACTCCTATATTCTTTGCAGCATCATTTACAATAGCAAGTTACAGTTACAAAGTATGGAGAGAAACCAAGTGTCCTTCAACAGACAGGTAGATCAAGAAGATGTGGTGTATATACACAATGAAATACTAGGCAGCAATCGAAAAAAATAAATAAATTCTTGCCTTTTGCAGCAACATGAGTGGAACTGAAAGGGGTATATAGCAAAGTAAATCAGAAGGGAAAAGACATTATCAGATGATATTACTTATATGTAGAATATGGAGAAACCAGACAAAAGGTCAGATAAAGGCAAACTCAAAAAATATCCCTTGAAAGGGGACTAAGAGCTGAAAGATTTAGAAGGGGAGGGGCAAGCACAAAGTTGGGAAGGAACCTAGTGGCTGGTAGGGCTTTTTCAGTACTAAAATTTCTGTTTAGTTATGCCCCTCTCAGAGCATATATTTTGTTCCTTGTTCATTTAACACCATAATTTGATTTTATCAATTTTTTTTTAACCAGTCCATATTAGATCCATTTTGTTTTGTTGTTGTTGTTGTTTTCATTATTCCATGATTTTTAATTGTATGTATCCCAGTTTGGTTTGTTGACTCATAGAGTGACTCTTGGGTCATTTCCAGCCTTTTTGTATTACAAACCATATTGAGTAAACATTCTTCATGCACATCTTCTTGTACCTGATTGCAAGATAAATTCTTAACTAGTAAACTGCTAGTTTTAATAGGTGTGCACAGTATACTACCGCTGTCATATGGGAATCCCACTTGCTAGATTACTTTAATCTTTATGATTCAGTAGCTGAGAATGATATTTTAATATTTTATCTGTACTTAGTTAGGAATAGTACTGAGCATTTTGTGGTGTTTATTGGCCAGTAAACTTGTCATGATTCTTTCCTTTGTGGTTAGGCCACTTTGAATGCCAGGACATCCATTTTGGCGGCAGCAAACCCAGTCAGTGGACATTATGACAGATCAAAATCATTGAAACAGAATATAAATTTGTCAGCTCCCATCATGTCTCGATTTGATCTCTTCTTTATACTTGTGGATGAATGTAACGAGGTAACTACATAAGCTCTTAGCTTCCTTTGTTATATCCAACATGAGTCAGTGAGACAAGGCTAGCAGGTGTACTCCTAAACCACCGGTGCGTTGTGTTTATATTGACCTCCTCGTTTCTCTCCATGTGACAGTTGTGTTAAGGAACTTCCAGTAATTTTTATTGTTGCTGTTCTTAATTCTCAACAGTAAAAAGTAAACATTGCAGTTAACTGCAAGCCATTTTAAGATTTTTATAAGAATTTTTGTGGTTGGTTTTCTTTGATGTTTTTGTTTAGTAAACTTGAAAAAAAAAAACCATTCAGATACCAGGGGAATTCCAATCCTTTTCCTTTTTTTTTTTTTAAATTGTGTCATTTGTTTTCTTATCAGCTTATTGAGTATTTATCAGCTTTAAGATTGGGTATAAAAATTAGAATTTATGTGGAATTAGCATATTTGTTATTTGTACTTACACTTAAATGATTAACAGCATTGCACAACTCACATGTGACCCAGGATATTCTATAAAAACTAATGTTGCAATTAAAAAATAATAAATAAATAAATAAATAAATAAATAAATAAATAAATAAATAAATGCTCAAGATGTGAAAAAATTATTTCTACTTATTCATATTATAAATATTTTGCTGAGTGCTATTAAAAAAGTTAAATTGTTTTTTGAGGGTAGAATCTAAAATAGGTTAAAGGTTTGTAAATTTTTAAGGTTTAGAATCAAGATAAGTTGCAAAATATCTTCCAGAAACAGCCGTAGAGGAGCAAAAAAAAAAAAACTAATGTTGCAGACTGCTTTCAATTGCTGAGCATAGAGGCGTCTATATTATATTAGGTATAGTACATATTTCGTAGCTTACAGCAAAATTAAATGTTTAAATGAAAGCTATTGTATTACATGAATGTTTGGAGGGATTTCCTTTTTGGTGATTTGGTTTCTTTACCTTTACAAATTCATTTATATGTACCCTCGACCCCCAATAGTTGGGAGTTGACAGGGGCCCATATAATTCAGTTTGTATATGACTGTTTAAAATCCTTTTTTTTTTTTTTTTTTTTAAGATTTATTTATTTATCCATACAGAATTAGGGTACAGACCAGAGGTGTGAGGATTGAGAGGATTCACCAGAGACAGAGGGGAGAACAGAACGGGCAGATCACTGAAATATACTGCTGAGGGGAGCAGCTGGTGGGATCAGAGACGTCTGCCATACCATGTGGGTCACCTCCCTGGCTGGGAATCAAATTCATGCTGCAGTGGCAGTGGATAGCTCCATAGTGCTGTGCTTTAATCTGCTGCACCACCATGGAGGGCCCTTCTTAAAATGTTTTTTAATGTTTAGGTTGGAGATAATTTCAACTTAAAAGTTACCAGAAATGTAAATCATAAAACACCTATATATACCCTTTATTCCATTCACATAGTTAACATTTGCTTCATCATTTGCTGGCATCTGTGTTTTTCTTATGTATCATTTTAGAGTAAATTGCATATTTTTTAGTATTTTTTTAGTGTTAATCACAGTTCTGTGATGATTTTATCCATATATTCACAAGTGCAATATACTGTATTGTCTAGTAGACCTTGAAAACTTACACTGCTCATTTCATGGCTCCATTATTTACTGTAATGTTTGGCAAGTTACTTAGCCTCTCTGTAACTCAGTGTCCTCATCTGCAAAATGGAGATGATACCTACCAAATACAGTTTCTGTGAGGGCTTGCATAAGTTGATATTTTCTAGACACAGTTAAGACAGCCATACCTGGAATGTACTGAGTGCTATAGAAATCTTAGCTCTGTGTGCCCTCCCTTGTAGTGCAACAAGTTGAAGTGCGGCACTGCAAGCAAGCAGCAGCCGCTTCAGTACAAGTTCAATCCCCACCCCTGGAGGTGATCTACATGGCACAGCAGACCTCTTCTGCTCCCCCACTTTGTCTCTGGTGAATCCTCTCACAGCCTCTGCACCTTTGGCCTGCACCCCAGTTCTGTATGCATAAATAAAATCTTTAAAAAAAAAAAAAAAAGAAAGAAATCTTAGCTCTGCAGCTGTTACTAAAGTCAGGTAATTCCTGAAATAATATGCTTAGATAAGGGCAAAGATAAGCATTTAAACTTTTGGTTTTAAATGAAACTGATACCAAACTCCTTAGAAACTTGGTACCTGTTCAAACATTTTTCGGTGGCATATTAGAACTTGTTTTGGGGTATAATTTTGTAATGCCTAGGATAATCAGGGGTGGACATTGTTAAGACTTACAAAGTGGTTTTTTTTGTTTTGAATTAGGTTACAGATTATGCTATTGCCAGGCGTATAGTAGACTTGCATTCAAGAATTGAGGATTCTATTGATCGTGTGTATTCCCTTGATGATATCAGGAGGTATCTTCTCTTTGCAAGACAGTTTAAACCCAAGGTAATGAGCCTATTTGTATTGGAATAAACCATGTGGGAGTATTGAAATGACAAATAAAAGGACTATATGAAAATTAACTGAACTTATACTTATGGGTTATTTTTCTTATTTTCCAGAAGTTTGCTTCTTCAAATAAAGTTGAGACAGGAATTTTTTTTTAATCTGATTAATTCCATTTGATAGTAATTAATGTAGGTTATTGGACTTTTTTTTTTAAAAAATAACCCTGTAAAATGCATCTCTTTTGTTTGTATTTCTTCGAATACAAAAAGAAAAAAAATGTTTGGATTCTATTTAAGAATAGAAGCTTAAATTTAAGCTTATTCCCATTGTCTGGTTTGTTGCCTTTACTTCATTCTCTATGATAAGGGAATGATTCTCATTACCCCAACAGAAACATAGTCATCCAAAACTAAGGTTTATGAGTCAGTTTTGTGTGGAAAAACATTTCTTTTCCACCACTCTCCATCCCGCTGTAACCTTGGAACACTTCCTTGATTTGCTGAGTTCCTTGCTCTGGAAAATTGAGGATTCTTTAGTATGCCTTACTGTAAGGTAGCTATTGTGTTTTTTATTTTTCCCAAAGACATCAGGAATGAGTTAACTAAGACTCAAGAATAACCTAAGCATTTTTTTTCCCCTAAGCATTATTTTTAAATGAGCTTTTACATCTTGGGCATAAAAGGCTTTACATCCTCTTCCATTGCTTTTAGCTTGTGATCCATGTTTAGCCTACTAATTGGTTATTTGTTAAATATTAAGCCTCCTGTCTTCCTGTTCATAATACATGGAATTCACAGGCTTCATATTAATTTTTTTTAAGACATGTCAGTATTAATTCCTTGTCATTGGCTTCAAAGTTTGACCCTCTAAGTTCATCAGAGTATCTCCATACAGAAGGCTTTTAAACTTATATTAGATCCCATCAGGTGAAATGTCATAACTTTCATGATCTGAAACAGATTTCTAAAGAGTCAGAAGATTTCATTGTGGAACAGTATAAACGTCTCCGCCAGAGGGATGGTTCTGGAGTAACTAAGTCTTCATGGAGGATTACAGTGCGACAGCTTGAGAGTATGATCCGGCTCTCTGAAGCAATGGCTCGGATGCACTGCTGTGATGAGGTACCAAAGTCACATTAACATACGGGGAAGAAATACTGAATTGTTGATTTATGAGCATGTTTTTGTCTTTGGTGTAGAACATATTAGCATTTAACTACAGATCTGTTTTATGTAGTTTTTGTGTAGTCATATGATAACATGAGCCTGGGGTTTCTCACTTTAGGAAGGTTCCTACCAAGTATTTGTTGAGAGTAGTAGCAGTTTGATTGTAGCTGAATATATGCGAGACTCGGTGAGATCATTTTGTCCTCATTTCCTAAATCATTTCTTTGTTGACTAAAATTTGGTTTCTTCTCAAGAAAAATTTATGAGAAAAGAGTTAATGAAAATGTTATGTTAGACATGGTTATTTGTAGCCTGAATCTGAATGACAACTAGCTTTGATGTGTACAATCTTTGACTCAAAACTTTTTTTGCTAATTTTCCTACCACAACCTGACAATAACTGCTGCTGTGAAAAATTTGAGGACAACCCTTGATTTTTAATTTTCTCATAAATAGCTTAATCTCTTATTTCCAAACTCATTATTTTTACTGACTAAATTGACTCAAGGGTATGTCTTGATACTTATTGCCTTAAATTACTTAAAATTTCTTTAAAGGTGGTGTTAAATAATGTATTATTATTACAAAAATTTTATTTTGTATTTTGTGTCCAGAAATTTTTTTAAAGGGTTGATGGTTTTCACTGTTGTTATGACACTCACCTGCTCAGACATACTTGGTTATTTATATATAAAAGGCTTTAAAAGCAGTCGCACCCCTCCCCCCAATGTGGACAATATATAACTTTTCTTTTAAATAAGTTTTTGTTTTAAACAAAATATACAGAAGAGTGCACAAATCATAAGAATAGTACAGCTTATTTTTCAAGGACCACACCTTTGTTACCTATACCCCAGTCAAGAAAAGGAACTAACATTTGCAGATCTTCCCTTTGTACTTCTTTCCCTACTACTACTCTACTCTGAGGATAACAGACACTACCTTTTTTTTTTTATTGGCTAGATATTACTATATAAGCATACTTCTGCTGCTGGTTATTTTGTTATTTTCACCTTTTTTTCCTCCAAGTTGGAATTAAAAGGTGTAAAATTTGTCACTATAATCAGTTTTAAATATACAGTTCAGTCGTGTTATAGTTGATATTGTAAAACAGATCACTAGAACTTTTTCATCTTGCAAAGCTAAAGCATTACCCATTTGACCAGTGTCTGCTTTGGTAGCCAATATTCTGCTTCCTAGTTTCACTACGGTATATACTTCTGGAGTAGAAAGCATGGTAGATGCCTTTTTGTAACTGCTAATTCTTGTAATGCCCTTAAGGTTCATCCATGTTGTAGTATGTGGCAGGATTTCCTTCTTTGCAAGATTAAGTAATGCTCATTGTTCATAAATACTACATTTTGTTTATCCATCTATCCAAAAATGGGCATTTGAGTTACATGCACCTCTTGACTGTTATGTGTAATGTGGCAGTGAAATGGGTGTTCTTTATGATTTGCTCGTATTTTGTCCCATTCTGTAGATGGTCTTTTTATTCTCTTTTGCCTTTGATGCTCAGGAGTTTTTTAATTGGCTGTAATTTGTCAGTTCCCTTTAGTTGCATGCAGTTTTGATGTCATATCCCAATTCATTATTCTGAAGCATTTCCCATTGTTTGATAAGTGTTATATAGTATTAGGTCTTTGATTTATTTTTAGTTAACTTTATCCTTTTGTATATGTGCACATTGTGATTTGGAAGCCACCTCAGGGCTTCTAAAAGCCCTTGTATTTCCTAAATGTTAAGGTTGTTTAAAATTGTCTCTAGTTATGATAATGAGGTATTTGAAAAATTTTGAGGAGGGGATGGAGAGAAGGAGATAATTGTGTACTATGTTGGAGGACTTGGGTGCCTTGGTGATAGATGTGGTGGTTGTGACACACACTTGAAGAGATGAGATCCTGTATTTCTAAATTGTGTGTCGTATACCATGTTACTTTAATGAAAACGTGTACATGTTGTGTGTGTTTTCCCTTGTGTCTAGTTTCTTTCATGCAACATTAACACTACAAGATACCCAGGTATGTGTAGCAATTCATAGATTTTCTTTGTTCTGTAACGTTCTGTCTCTGACTATATTTTCAGTATTTTTTAACCACCACTGACCTTGGTGGATGTTTGTTTTCCAGTCTGGACCCTAATGGAATATACTTGTCTTTGGTCTGTATGACATATGTATGTGTTTAGATTTCTGTTGGGTACATATTAGGAGTGGAATTGTGTCATAGGTTGTATGTATGTTTAGTAAAACTGTCAATTTTTCATAGTGGTAGATTTTATTCCCATCAAGAATGAAAGAAAATTGTTCTTCTTTCTAACACTTGATTGTCATGATTCTAGTGCTAATATGTTAGATTTATGGTTCTATCTTATGTGAGAGGGAGGGTGAAAAAACTGATTTACAGATTTATCACATCTTGATGGCTTTAGGTCCAGCCTAAACATGTGAAGGAAGCTTTCAGATTACTGAATAAATCAATTATCCGTGTAGAAACACCTGATGTCAATTTAGAACAAGAAGAGGAGGCCCAGATGGAAGTAGATGAGAACCCAGATGGCATCAATGGTGAGATTGTGTTTCATTTGACTGCTCTAGAGTTAGGGACCAAAATGATCTCTGAGATGTCATGGTAAAAGTGCAGTAATTGATAGTTAGGAAGTCTGTGTAGCAGAAAAGAAAAAGTGGATATTGAATTGTATTAATTTTTTACAAGTTCAGTGGTGGTTAAAAAATACTGAAAGACTGAAAGAAAATACTGCAAGATGGTGATAATGGTCTTAATTCCAATCTTAACTTGATTTGTTTTATTTGGTCCTTAAATACATTTTCTTTACTACATTAAAATGTAAATAACAGAAATTCTATTTATATTACAAATTTTTAGATCATGAAGTTCATATTTCACTCCTCCCCTTTCTACACAAATTATTGTTTTTATTACTAGCATTTGTAAGTTTACTCCTAAATTAATTAATTAATAGTTTTAACTGTGCTTGTTTTGAATTAGTATTAAAATGTAAGCAGTCCATTTATAAACATTTGATGGAGTTTGGGAGGTACACAGACATTCAGATGGTTCATGTTTCACAGGTCATGCTGACAGCCCTGCTCCTGTGAATGGGATCAATGGCCACAGTGAGGATATGAATCAAGATTCTGTTCCAAAAGCTTCCCTAAGACTGGGCTTCTCTGAATACTGCCGAATCTCTAACCTTATTGTGCTCCACCTCCGAAAGATGGAAGAAGGTGAGGTTACATACTGTTGTTTATATGCTTAGTCATTTTACATGAGCTATTATTTGTATGACCCAATTCTGATTGCTAAAGATTGTGTTGCTCTCTCAGAGAGATAGTAAATTGTTAGTCTCTCATTGGTAAAAGAAATCAATGGAATATCAGCATACCTGCCAGCCTGGACATTTCTCCACAAGTTTACTGTTAGATTTATAGCTCATTTTTGCTAGTGTCCTTTACTTATTTTGATACCCTTGAAGCATAACTTGGTCTCTGGCACTATAAAAAGCCTTTAGCAAATGTTTTTATAGTTGCAAAATCACTTTCTTACAGTGGCTTTATTTAAAACAGATACACTCCTAGGGTATTTATATTTCATAGGTAAGCAACTGAACTTGACTATATTAACACACATAGATTACCAAACTATATATTTATATATATATATATATTTCTTTTTTTTCTCTTTAGGTAAAATATGCTATCTGGATTTTAGTACTAGCCTACTTACCACCCTTAACTGCTTTACCATGCAAATAGTTGAACTTTAAACTTTAATTTGAGGGTTAACCACCATCAGGTAGTTACTTTTTTAAAGTTCCAACATGCTAGTTTCCTGACATATTCTCTCATCACTGCATTTGATTGCAATGGAAAAAGAGAACATGAAGGGATTATTACAATTTCCTAAAGATTTAAACCCTACAGGTCTCAGCCTTCATTTCCCTTGGAACTATCTGCCAGAGAGGAAGGAGAGAAAACAGCAATAGAAAAATTCAAATGTTTTTGTGTTTACATTACATAGCATTGTCTTTCTCATGCAGTGAAGTTTTTTAAATATGGCAGACAGGATTGGATCCTGCATCCCACAAATAAATTATACTAGGTCTTTCTTAAAACAAGGGACAAAAATCATTGTTTACTTGCCAAAACAGTTTATCAGTACTGAGTGTTTAGGTAGACAGTTGTTCTAGCACAGAGAGCACCAATGAACCAAAGAAGTCACATGACCAAAAACATTTGAACAAACTACTGTCAAAATAAAATGTTCAAAGGCATTATTATAAAACTAGAATTTCCCTATTTTAGTTTCTAATTGTATTACAGTTTCTAGAACTAAGACTAAAGAGAGTTCTCTTTTCTGTACTTTATGTCTCTGATAGAATATTATCCAGCCTCCAAACTTTTCTTGTAAATTTAGTGTCTTCAGAAGCAAACATTTCCTTTGGTATAGACATATTTTACTGGAATAAATTAGTAATTTTAAGTGAACTCCCATGGATTTCACTTCTCAGTTGACTATAATTCCATGAAACCTTCTTTTCAAAAAGGAGAAAATATTTTTAAGTTTTGCTTGCTACTGCTTCATTCCTAATAGCTTTCAGTGGCTATTGGCAAACATTGTCTTAGGTGACAAAGCATAAGAAAATAAAATAATCTGTGTACTTTGAAACCTTAATAGCTTTAAGTAAGCTTGTTTCTTATAATCTGTTTGTTAGCTGTTGCTTTTCAGGATAAACTAAAGCATACTTTAATACAAGTAATCTGACGGGTAATTTCAGCCTCATGGTAAAACATTGCAAATCTTATTTCAGCGGCTGTACTTTCTAACTGGTTGATGGTTCTCTAATCTGTGGGTTATATTGTATATGCAAACCCCAAGGATTGGCACTTTGCTAGGAGGATTACTTAAAATGTGCTGTTTTGTTGCAGAAGAGGATGAGTCTGCATTAAAGAGGAGCGAGCTTGTTAACTGGTACTTGAAGGAAATTGAATCGGAAATAGATTCTGAAGAGGAACTTATAAATAAAAAGAGAATAATAGAGAAAGTCATTCATCGACTCACCCACTATGTATGTACAGAACTACACTTGCTTTGGTATTAATGAGGGAGGGAGCTCATACTTCATCTAAGTAGATTCATTAGAAATTTGTTAATTTTAAATCATTGTGGTGTAATTAGAATTACAAGTGGTAAAGTGAAGGAAAATTAACAGTAGTTCGTTTTCATTGATTTCCACTGCTAAAACAAATAGAACTTAAGTAAAATCTGGAAAGGTGTTTGTAATTCTCATCAGCTATATGTACTTTGACCATACCTTACCCCCATCGAATGTCCTATTTTCTGTATTTCATCTTTTTCATATCCTTACCTCCTATGTTACCTAACGTACGATCTCTTGGTCTATCCCTGTAAACACTTCTTTATTTTCTACTTTATTTCCTCCTAGCTTTACTTCTTTACTTGCTGGCAAAACCTCAGCCTTCAGTAAAGCTTTTTTTTTTTTTTTCCTGTATCTATATCCAAAGAATTAAACTTCTAGAAAATAACATATAATAAAATCATAACCTCTAACTTCAAATGGAGAGTTCTTAATTTCTGTCTTAGTAACTTAGTATACCAGCACTGCCGAATGCTATTACCTTTTCTCAGATTTATCATTTTCTCACTCAAAGAACAATTACATACCTTCTTTCTACTCAGATTATGTATGGTCATTCTCATTATACAACCAAGCAATAGTATGTGTTCTCTTAGTTTCTGAGACACCATATTGCCCTGTATCTTACATCATTGGTTATTTCCTCATAGTATTTACCTGAATCTTTCTCTTATCACTTTTTCAATTATTTATTTATTTATTCATACAAGAACTGGGGTGTAGGCCATAGGTGTGGAGGGTTGGTGAGAAGATTCACCAGAGACAGCGGGGAAGAGACAGGCAGATCTACTGAAACATACTGCTGAGGGGAACAATGGAAAAGACAAAGAGAGGCACCATGTGGGTTAGTTCCCTGGCCAGGGCTCAAACTCAGGCCACAGTGACTGGCAATAGCTTGATAGTGCTGAGACTTCAACCCCTGAGATACCAGAGAGACCTTTTCTTTTTAATTTATTTGTGTAGGACAGAGGTGGGGAAGCAGGGGTACAAAAGAGAAGTCACCAGCGACAGAGTGGGGAGCAGAACAGGCAGATCCATTGAAATACACAGCTAAGGGGAATGTGGGTGAGACAGGAGAGGTCTGCTACACCATGAGGGTTAGCTTCCTGGCCAGGTATGAACTCATGCTGTAGTGGCTGCTAATAGCTTCATAGTGCTAAAAACTTAACCCTTGCATCACCAGGGAGACCCCCTCTCTTACCATTTTTCTTGCTCTGCAAACCCCTTTGCTATTTACATTTAAAATCCTTACCTTAAATGATCTCCTTTGGTTCTATGAATTTAAACCCATTCAACTGATGATTCCCAGATTTATAGCTTCAACTCTCACTTCATACCTCTAGATAAATATAGCCATCTGCCTACTTGCAAACTAATAGACATCTCTCACATACTGTGTTCAAAAACTGTTCTTTTGTTTCCCCTTGGATTGTCATTTACTCGGTTACTTTAGGCTAAACACCTTAGAATCATCCTTGATTTTACTTTACCTCATAACTCCATTTAACAGCAGATCCTGTTATTTCTACCTTCAGTATGAATATTCTCTGTTCTCTTCTCACCACATCCGTAGCTACCCAAGTCACTATCCCTGAACTGCCCCCCTTCGTATTGTCTCTGTCCAGCAGCTGGAAATACTTTTTAACAATCACATTGTCTTTGTGCTCTACCTTGCAGTCCTCACATTTAGGATAGTCTCGGCCATAGCTTGCAAAACCCTACACAGTCAAGCTCCATCTACTTCATTTCTTAGCACTCTTCCCCTTTCCCATTCCATTTAATGATACTGTCATTGTTGCTGCTCCTTCAACACACTAAAATTAAGTCCTTTGCACTTCCTCTATGTCTGTTTCCCAGATCTCCTCCAATATACCTTCTCAAAGTGATTTTTCTTGCCATGTCTAGAAATAGCCCCCTGCTCACCCCATGAGCTTGTTTTGTCTTTCTTCATAGTGTTTATAATTACAGTGTTATCTTTATGCAGGTGTTTTGTTGTCTTGTTAGAATGCAAATACCATAAGGGCAGGGACTTCATTTTTCTCACCATTGCCTCCCCAAGATCAAATACTTGTTGCAGGATTTGATTTTTCTATTCATATAGCAGAAATGTAGTGGTCCTTCCATTCACTTCATATTGCACACTATATAAACAAAGGCTTCAAATCAGACTTGTTTACCTGTGGGAATAGTTGACTATTACTACAGTTATATGTTGGGAGATGGTTGTAGTGAGAACAGCTGCTTTTATCAGATTTTAACAAATATTAATATGTAAGAAAATAAAGTTGAACAAAAGTAGAATGTGCTCAACATTGCCTTTCCGTTACTGAGTAATATGCTTATCCTAAGCCACTCCTTATTCCACCTGGATTTAGCAAAGGTAAAATAACCCATGTAAGAAGTCCATATTTGGAAATAGTGAAATTAACAGTGAAATTAGTTAATTTTAAGTTTGACTCACTACCTGAATTAACTCACTACAAAAGACTAGAGAATTCATGCCATACTAATCAAATGTACTTCCTTTGAGAATGCAGTAGTACATGCTGTGAGGTATTCAAATATTCAGTCCCTCTTAGTCACTGGTGCTTATACTGTGGGACTTCACTACCATCCTAGGATCAAATCACTACTTCCGAATTCCTCTGTGGGTTTGGCTTTTCATTGGGGACATTTTAAACTGGCTTATAGGTTGGTATGGTACTTCACAAATTTGACATGTTACTTTTTTTTTAATAGCTCGGTGAAGTTTTTTCCATATTATCTTTATATTCTACTTGTAACTAAATTATGAATGGATAATATATAAAATAGTACAGTTGCCAGCAGTTAAAAATTAACAAAATGTTGTGAAATGAAGCACTTATCAGTGATAGATAATCATTATTTTCAGAGGGTTTAACAAAATTTTGTAATCT